TTTGTTCGTGAACCAAAATTACAGGGTTTACAAAGGTACGTGTCATCAGGGTCTATTAAACAACTGCGGTGCGACGATAAGAAAAGACGTACCTTCGATGCCCACCGAAGGGTCAAACACCTCTTGTTGACCCATTACATATACTCTAGCGGGTCCTTTGGGTCAATTTTCCCCTGTATTTGACGGCTTAGCCGTGGTCCCTTCCGTTGGCGGTTTAAGTCTCTCTTTTTGCATCTTAGGGCATTGGGCAATCAGATGCTCTGTACTACCACATTTATAGCATTTTCGGATCGAACTGTTCTTCCAACAGTTTTCGTTGGTGTGATTGGCCCCGCAGAAACCACAGGTTGGCCTAGTTCCTGCAGTCAATATTCCATGCTGAGCACCTCTCTGGGGCCCTTGCCCTACTCGACCTCTCCCAAAATTACCCTGGTTTAGGGTTCTTGCGGGTCGGGGACTATCTGTTCCTCGACCCTTCTTAAAAGGTGGCTCACTTCTCGAACTCTGTCCAGTTGCAAAGTTGCTCAAATCGGGTTGCCTCCTTTTCTGATCATGAAAGGCTTTTACCTGTCCCCTAACTGTCTCAATCCGCTGTGCTTTTTCTAGCGCCTGGCTAAATGTGTCCAACTGAGTAGCTGCTAGTGCCTCTTGGATTTCCACATTCAAGCCTTGGATAAAGCGGCGAATTCGCTTTTGCTCCGTTAGCAGCAGTTCCGGAGCGAAGCGAGAGAGTTTTATAAACTGGGTTTCATACTCCACCACACTGGATGCCCCTTGGCGTAGGCGGATAAAATCATCCTCATGTCTCTCTTGTACAATGGGAGGTAAATATTTTTCATTAAATTCTTGCGTAAAATTAACCCATGTCCAGGGGGTCTGTTCCCGCTCCCACTTGGCCCTAATCACATTCCACCAGGATCGGGCGGCCCCTTCAAACTGAAAAACAGCAAAAGATATCTGCCGCTCCTCCGAATACCTAAGCGCGGCAAATATATCTAACATACGGTCCATTCAACCCTCTGCTAGGTCAAGATTAGGTCTACCTATAAACTTGGGAGGTGCAAATTTTTTGAACCGTTCTAAAGCACGGTCCTCTCCTTCGTGATTGCCTGGATTATTTTAAGGGTTCCTGTAGTATTCCCATGGCCCTGACCCTGTTGGTCAACCATACGTTCTAACAGGTCAGCCGATGGCTGTAGCTACTTGATCTGGCTCATGTTCATGTTCCCTTTCAGGGTTTCGTCCTCGCCCTCTACGTCTACCTCGAGTACCGGAGGCCATTTAGGTGCAAGAGTCTATAAATTCAAACATCACGTGTGCTTAGTATTCAAACTAGAAACCAAATAAAAACACAAAACAGATGCACGAAAGGCACGCAAAGGATAAGTGCAAAAGATAATACTCAAATATACACATTTATTTACAAAGCCACACCAAAAGATATACAAGTTATCCGACATCCAGTCAGAACAAAACCCTTTAAGTACATGGGCATTCGAGCTCCAAAATCTAGTTAACCAGCAGATAACCAAAGAATCAGCTATACTGGTTAGAACAAAAACATATCAGATGGGCAAAAAAGAATCCAAATAATGGCCCTACTCGCCTCCCCTAGGGCCCCAATCCCCAGCGGAACCTAGGGTATCTACCTCGCCTATCTGCTCTGGGCCAGTAGCTCGTGGTGGTGCCACCGCGACCATATCTAGTAGGACCTTGCAGTCTAACGTAATAGTCCGGGCCCTATTCCTAAGCTGCCTCTTCATAGCGAAGAGGTGCTGGTGTCTGTCTTGGAGGTCCCGCTCCAAGTCCCTAATGCGCAAGTCCTGCCCATGGTCAAACTCTCTAGCCTCCTCCAGTTGTGCCCTCAAAGTGTTGACCGTCCTGCCTAGGTGATAACGCTCGTCATCCACAGCAAAGACGACCTCGTCGGGGTAGCCATATGTATACCAACACTCACAGAGTCGGTGCAACACCTGACCAAAGAGGGAATACAAAATGTAGGGCTCCCCAAGCCTCCTCCGATATCAGATCACCCGCTTACGCAACACCCGGTCCTCCGGGCCCCTCGCACTCGGAGGTCTCGATCCCAGTCCCATGCCGCTAGGTCCAACACCGCTAGAACTGCCCGGATCCATACCTACAAACATTAATTCGTTAGTTAACCGGCATTTTAGTTTAAAATATATCATTCATCTTAAAAGAATCAAATATGCCTAGTGCCTATCACGTATGTCCCACTTGCCCAAGTCCTCTAACCTAGGCGCTCTGATACCACCTATGACGCCCCCGCTTTTTCCAAGGGCGAACCCTAGGGTATCGGCAGGACGCATGCCTAGCTCGTGCCAGGACTCAAAATTTCAAAACAATAAAACTAGATAAACCCAAAAGCGTACTATTCACAATATATCCAATGCCAAAAGAGTTCTATTTACATTCCCAAAAGCAGCTATTTGAACCACCATGGTACATTATAATAACAACCAGCAGAAAGTGGACCCTAAGGTGGGTCTTTATACAAACCACCAAAACAAAAAGGAACATCTTAGTTGACCAACTATTACAAACTAAGCCTCACTATACTAGTGCTAGTGCCAAAAGTTTTCCCCGTGTCGGCTCCTGTTAAGGAAAACAAAGGAAATGGGTAAGCTAGAAGGTTAGTAAGTAAGCAGGGGTAAACACATAAATTTCACATAAAAATAAACAATTATGTTACAAAATGTCAAATTAACAGATATAAGTAACAACACAAGTAAGGATACAGGTTGGCTCCAAAGCCAAGTCGTTCGCCAGGCGTGACCTCCTGTCGACACTTCGTCAACCGCATATAAGGGTCCGTAGAACTCCACTTGTACTCCCACCTAACACCTTATCACCCTCACTGGCCAGTCACCTCACAAACTTGCTCGAGCGAACGAAATCACAAACTTGAGCTTGAGTCACAAGCTCGGGTCACAAACTTGGTTCACAACTGGAACCTACGAACTTGGTTCACAACTGGAACCTACGAACTTAGTGACCTCAAGACTAGGTTGGACTAGTTTCGACCAAACCCCGCCCGGCTCGAATAGTCCGTCTAGGTCTTGAGATCGGGCCCACAACTTCATCGTATTTCACAAATTCACGAAAATCACCCCGAGCTCCAAGCTCAAGGGGTTCAGCATCAAGAGAGTTCATGTATACACATCTCATGAAGAAACATAGGTACAAACTAGGGTTTAGGTCGAGTGTACTAAAGTACACTCTCGCCTAAGTCCCCCTTTTATTCATTTCAAAACACATAAGTAGTTTATATACATAAACGGCCTGAATACTTACTCCAAAGGTACGTATAGCAAAAAGGCAAGGATCACATCACATATATAGCTAGTAGGCCCCACCGGCACCGTCTAGCCCGTCACCGTCTGAAATAGAAAATTGCATCACAATATATCACAAACGGCCACTAACATGCATAACTCAAGTAAAACGGCAAAATTGGCACATGCAAGTGCGGAAACGGCACACGGAAATGGAGACGGACACAGAAACGGAAATGGCCATATTTGCCATCCCAAACCGTTTTGCTCAAAAGTTAGGCTAGGAATGTCGGATCAAGGTGGGTGAGACACTGTTTTGAAGCTACAAGGAAGGGCTACAACTTTTATTTAGACATCTCAACCCAGATCCCAATAGGTATTGATCAAAAATGCATAAAATAGTTCCAGCCATTTCATCTCGGGTTACCAAACAGGCCCAGTTTGAAAGATCGTAACTCACGACTCAGAAATCGAAATCAATAAATTACAGAAGCATTAGAAAGCTCATTCATAAGGCTATAACTTTCATGCTTGGACCAAAAGCTGAATAAATACGGAGCATGGGGAAAAATGGGTCCAAACGTCCCTGTCAGAACTGTCCAAATTCGAAGGCAGTTATGACAACCGATCTTGTTTTGGTCATAACTGGAGCTACGGACCTCAGATTTGGATTTAATTTATACCGTTTCGAATCTAAGACCAAGATCTACATTTCTTATGAAGAGATCAACACCTAGTTCGCACGTTATCAAGACAGACAAAACATGGTCAGAGGCAAAACCCAGAAACGTAGCAAAATCCTGGGTTTAAAACAGAAGTGAAGGTTTTGCCCATAACTCAGGATCAACTAATCGGATTGGGCTGAAATTTTGTAGGCAGAACGGGTACTTTACAGGCTACAACTTTCATGTTTTCGGTAAACCCTGAATCCATACGTAACATCAAGAAAAATGAAGCCTAAGTTCAGATGCTGAACTGCCCTGGTTACCCGTTTTGCCGGTTTCAAATGTCACAAACGCATGGTTCATTTCTATGGTTCTTATGCAAGGTTTCCAACCAAATTCATACCAACTAAGCACACATATACTAACTTCTAAATGACCCACAAATGGTCCGAAGTTTTCCCTTTAAGCCACTACAAAATTGCCAAAACTAACCATGATCCTTAAACTAACTTTATTTGCATTACCAAACTTAATCTAACAACTTACTAACCAAACCCTAACTAACTAAAAATTAGCTGATGAGGAGGTCGAGGGTGATATTCAAGTGGAGCAAGTGAAGGTACCATTGGGGCCTATGACCCGTGCTCCTGCAAAGAGGTTAAGTGAAGCACTACAAACATTGATTCGCGCGGCCCGAGAGTCTAGTGGAGAGCCTAAGGCCATTGAAGGCCTTAACGAAGCTAGAGAGGTCATTTTCCTCGAGGCCATTCCTGAGAATTAGTGTGAGATTCGATTATGGGGCCATGGCCCATTAGAAGTCTTAGTAAAATATCTTAAAGAGGTTCCAACTAGCTTGTAGTTTGAACTCTAGTCGTTGTTTAGTTCGTGGGCCAATGTTCTGGGCCATGTGAGCCTCATTAGCAAGTAACTTGGCCCACGAACTAAACAACGACTAGAGTTCAAACTACAAGCTAGTTGGAACCTTAACGGCTTGAGGCCTGAAATCGCCGAATTGGTGGAGTTGCAAAACTATGTGGATATGCCTGAGTTGATTGACAAGGCATCCAAGATCGAGAGGAGACTTAAGAGGAGGGGTAACCCTCGTAACCCTAACTTCTCGGCCACGCCTGTGTGGAGGGGCAATCCGACCTTCGAGCGGGAACGGCCTAGTCCAGGGGTGTCCAAATTTACTCCTAAGACCGAGCCACCCAAGCCAGCCCCAAAGGCAACTCCAAGGCCTCCATTCGACTCTTCCAAACCACGAAGCCGCGACAAGTGCTTCAAATGCCAAGGATTTGGGCACATTGCTTCCCAGTGTCCCAATAGGCGTACCATGATTGTCCTACCAAGCGGAGATGTCGTATCTGACGACGAGGACGAGTTCGCCGAGATGCCTCCATTGATTGAAGAAGGCGAAGATTCCGAGGAGGAAGTTGAGGCCACTACGGAGCAAGTGGGTGTTGCTCTAGTAGCTCGTCGGGCTCTTGCAACCCAAGTCAAGAAGGTGGATGAGGCCCAACGTGATAACATCCTCTACACACGATGTCACGTCAAGGGAAGAGTATGTAGCCTCATTATTGACGCGGGTAGTTGTACCAACGTGGCAAGTACTCTCATGGTGGACCATCTTTCTTTGCCCACATTGAGACACCCAAACCCATACCGCTTGCAATGGCTCAACGAGAGTGGTGATATCAAAGTCACCAAGCAAGTGGTGGTGCCTTTCCGGATTGGGAAATATGAGGACCAGGTTCTTTGCGACGTCATTCCCATGCAAGCTTCTCATATTTTGTTGGGACGGCCATGGCAATATGACAAGAAGACTACGCATGATGGCTTCACCAACAAGTATTCCCTCTTGCACCACAACAAGAAAATGACACTGGTGCCTCTCACGCCCCAGCAGGTGCATGAAGACCAACTGCGGTTGCAACAGGAGCATGAGCGAGAGTTGGTCAAGAAATCCAATGACTCTAAAGCAATCATTAAAGCACCAGCCATGAAGACATCCACACCTAGTACTTCTAAGCAACTGGACAAGCGTCCAAGCTTGCTTGCAAAGAACAGGGAAGTTCGCAAGTTACTTTTATCCAAGCAAATTGTTTATGTCTTATACTGCAAGGAAGTGATTCTACTCTCCCATGAGGCACTGACTGAATTACCTCCTGAAATTTCTTCTCTGTTGCAGGAATTTGAGGACGTTTTCCCAGACGAGATCCCAAGTGGACTACCCCCACTTAGAGGGATCGAGCACCAGATAGACTTCGTCCCTGGAACAGCCTTGCCGAATAGACCAGCCTACAAGATGGGCCCTGAAGAGACTAAGGAGATCCAGAGGCAAGTGGACGAGCTCTTAGAGAAAGGTTGGGCTCAAGAGAGCGTGAGCCCATGTGCAGTTCCCGTCATCCTCGTTCCAAAGAAAGAGGGCACTTGGAGGATGTGTATGGACTGTCGCGCCGTCAACGCTATCACAGTTAAGTATCGTCACCCTATACCTCGATTAGATGATTTGTTTGACGAATTGTATGGTGCAGTCATATTCACCAAGATCGATCTTAAGAGTGGCTACCATCAAATTCGAATGAAGGAAGGGGACGAGTGGAAGACGGCCTTCAAGACTAAGTATGGTCTGTATGAGTGGTTAGTTATGCCGTTTGGTTTGACTAACGAGCCTAGTACATTTATGCGTCTTATGAATCATGTGCTCCGTCCTTTCTTAGGTAAATTTGTTGTTGTTTATTTTGACGATATTCTGATCTACAGCAAGAGTCCTGAGGAACATGTAGCACATGTACGAGCTGTCCTTGCGGTTTTGCGTCGGGAGAGGTTATTTGCCAACCTAGGCAAATGTACTTTCTGCACTAATGAGCTTGTTTTCCTTGGTTATAAGGTTAGTGCACAAGGCATTAGAGTGGACGAGAGCAAGGTCCAAGCCATCAATGAGTGACCCGTACCCAAGACCATGAGTGAAGTTCGGAGTTTCCACGGCCTTGCGAGTTTCTATCGCCGGTTCGTGAAGGATTTCAGCACTATAGCTGCCCCTCTTACTGCCGTTATCAAGAAGGATGGGAAGTTTGAATGGGGGGAAGCTCAGGAGAGGGCGTTCCAACTCCTTAAACACAAGCTCACACACGCACCCGTGTTGTCCTTACCTAGTTTTGATAAAGCTTTTGAGGTTGAGTGTGATGCTTCTGGTGTAGGAATTGGAGCTGTGCTGATCCAAGAGGGAAGGCCGATCGCGTACTTCAGTGAGAAGTTAAATGGTGCCGCCTTGAACTACTCCACCTATGACAAGGAGCTCTATGCTTTGATTCGTGCACTGGAGACATGGCAGCACTACCTGAGGCCTAAGGAATTTGTCATCCACACTGACCACGAGGCATTAAAGCACCTCAAGTCTCAACAAAAGTTGAATAAGAGACACGTCCGGTGGGTCAATTTTGTGGAGTCCTTCCCCTATGTGATCAAATACAAAGCTGGCAAGACCAATGTCGTTGCCGATGCACTGTCCAGGAGGTATGCCTTGACTGCTTTACTTGATGCTAAACTCCTTGGATTTGACCTCATCAAAGAACTCTATGATACCGACTCTGATTTTTCTGCTATCTATAAGTCTTGTGCTAAGTCGGGTCAGGGTAAGTTCTTCATACATGATGGATTTCTATATTATAATGATAAATTATGCATTCCGTCATGCTCTATTCGTGAGTTACTAACCCGTGAGGCTCACGGCGGTGGTTTAATGGGACACATTGGTGTCACCAAGACTTTGAGTGCTTTATAGGAGCATTTCTATTGGCCACGTATGAGGCGGGACGTGGAGCGAGTGGTGTCACGTTGCATCACCTGCCACCGTGCCAAGTCCAAGCTCCAACCCTTTGGTTTGTATACACCGCTACCTATTCCTTTCCGAACCATGGGTTGACATTTCGATGGACTTTGTACTTGGTTTGCCTAGGAGTAAAAGAGGCCATGATAGCGTCTTTGTCATAGTGGACCGATTTTCCAAAATGGCCCATTTCATTCCTTGTCATAAGACGGACGATGCTACTCACATAGCTGATCTCTTCTTTAAGGAAATTGTCCGTTTGCATGGTGTACCTAGGACTATTGTATCTGATAGAGATGTTAAGTTTCTCTCTTACTTCTGGAAGACTTTGTGGGGGAAGTTGGGGACTAAGTTGCTATTTTCTACATCCAGTCACCCCCAGACCGATGGCCAAACTGAAGTCGTTAACTGCACATTGTCTACATTACTTAGGGCCATCATTAAAAAGAATCTCAAAACTTGGGAGGAGTGTTTACCCCATGTTGAGTTCGCTTATAATCGTACAGCCCATAGTGCTACACAGTTTTCTCCATTTGAGATTGTTTATGGTTTTAACCCATTGACCCCTTTGGATTTGATGCCTTTGCCTTTGTCTGAGCGTGCTAACCTTGATGGCAAGAAGAAGGCCGAGTTTGTCCAGACATTACACTAGCAGGTGAGGACCAACATTGAAGCCCGCACCCAGCAGTACCTCAAGCATGCCAACAAGGGTCGGCGTCGCGTGGTGTTTGAACCAGGTGATTGGGTCTGGTTACACTTACGCAAAGAGCGATTCCCTGCCCAGCGCCGCAACAAGCTGCTACCCCGAGGAGATGGACCATTCCAAGTTGTGGCGCGTATCAATGACAATGCCTACAAGCTCGATCTACCAGGTGAGTATAATGTCTCAACTACATTTAATGTTGCTGACCTAAGTCCCTATCTTGCAGATGGCGAGGTCGATTTGAGGACAAATCTTTCGCAAGAGGAGGGGAATGATGAGGAGGTCGAGGGTGATATTCAAGTGGAGCAAGTGAAGGTACCATTGGGGCCTATGACCCGTGCTCGTGGGAAGAGGTTAAGTGAAGCACTACAAACATTGATTCGCGCGGCCCGAGAGTCTAGTGGAGAGCCTAAGGCCATTGAAGGCCTTAACGAAGCTAGAGAGGTCATTTTCCTCGAGGCCATTCCTGAGAATTAGTGTGAGATTCGATTATGGGGCCATGGCCCATTAGAAGTCTTAGTAAAATATTTTAAAGAGGTTCCAACTAGCTTGTAGTTTGAACTCTAGTCGTTGTTTAGTTCGTGGGCCAATGTTCTGGGCCATGTGAGCCTCATTAGCAAGTAACTTGGCCCATTAGTCTTTTTATTTGTCTATTTATGTTTGCATTTAGGGTTGTAAGAGGCAGTTTTTGATGATTAATAAAATACACTTTTGAGAGTTCTCTCAAAGCTTCATTGAAGCACCATTGAATATCTTAGAATCGTTCTTAGGTATTCAATCGACTTATCAATCTAGGACCGCGCTAGATTGTGGCGTCCTCTACCAAATACCGAGGTTCGTTGGCCACGTGATCAACGGGTTTAGGTTATCCGCTGCGTTTCGTCGTCTTCAACGTGAGCATCTACCTTCTAGATCCAAAACCTTTCTGTACGGGTTGCATCACATGGTTGGTGTCGTTCGTATCATTAGCCAAGCTGAACTAACTTAAGGAAACCTAGGGTTTCATAATCCAAATCAGTTTTTACCATTCACTCACCAAACCAATAAAACAAATCATCAAACACAACCATTACAATCTTCATAACACAAAATTAGAGCTAATTAACTTGTTTAGCATGAAACCCTAATTAGGGCACCTATGGCCGAATCAGGAAGGCCCAAATTTAACCAAATTACACCAAAAAAACAAGTGATAAACACAAGTGAAACCATAATCAATGACAACTAACAACTATTATCATCATTTCCCCCATTTCAAGTATCATCAACCACCTTTAACTTTGTATAGAAGCTTTCTTACCTCAAGATAAAGGTTGAATGATGGCTAAGAAACTCAAGCTAGCTCCAAGATGGACTCTTTATGCCTCAAGATGAAAATCTATGGAAGAAATTGGTTGAACTTAGCAAAATTCCCCTTGGTTTCTTCTTCTCCCTCTCACGGCTCCAACTCTCTCTCTCTTCCTCTTGTTTGTTTGTTTTGTTTTGTCATCCAATGACTTAATTGTGTTTCCTATGACTTTATATGTGGTGCAAACCCACTTAGGAGAGATATTTATTAGCCAACCAATCACACAAAAGGACTTTATTTGCTTCTTAGCCCTTGTACTTCAATTTAACTTTTGTTCCACTCTTGCCCTTAAACCTTTACTTTTCTATCAATTTACTCCATAAGTTGTAAACTTAATCTAATCCAAACATGTAATCACACTTAATTGCTTCACTAATCACTTTCCTATATTAATCACCTGTACTTAAACATACTTTATCTCACATAAAAGCAATTAAACAACAATATTTTTGTCATAGGCAAAATTAGGGTTTAAACCCAACTTAAAATTCTAATATATCGTAACACTAAAGGTTTTGCTAGCTTTTTGGGTTTTCTAACTTTTAAACTCACTTAACCGATATAAAATAGATCAAATCCCATATTTACCCACACTAAAACACTCGCTAACATAACTAACTTTAACCACCACTCGAACTTGTGATTAATACGAAAACTAGGGTTTCAATCCTAACCCCAACTTAGGGTTTTCGAATTAGTGGAAAAACCTAATGTTACAGCACAAACAATAAATATAACCTAATATCAAACTTAAGAACTGACCGGGGTCTCCCAAGTATACACTGTCGAAAAGTGAATACAACACCCGGAAGAGAAGGTGATGTGCATGTGAAGAAGTTGCTCTGCCATTTCCCTGAAGCTCAAAGACATCTCATTGTACCAAAAAACCCACACCTTATTATTCAATGCTCCCAATGCACTATCAAACCCAAGTAATTGACGTACCACCTCAAGTTGAGGAGTATCCGACAAGGATTCCAGAAGTACCAGCAACCGTATTGAATTAGTTTACAAATCTTATGTAAATATCTAAGTGAATCTTTGCGAGAAGCCCCACGTATATTCCATACAACAAACTTAATGGGATTTAACATGAGACCGCAAAGAGTAATGATTTTGAGATTGGAGATGAACTTGATTGAGAGATGCTTTAGCTGGCCGACCACCCTTGTGCCTAGCTCCAAGCTGACCATACTTCGCGGCCTCTTGCTGCTCCAACTTTCCTGAACCATCAATCACACAATTCAGCGCCTCCCTTGTACCTGTCGGATCAGAGTGCAGCCGTTGATGCAACACCCTTTGAAAATTTTGTAACTGCTCCCACGTCGCTACTTCCCCCGATTTATCCCCGTTCAAGCTTTGTCGTCTATGTCGCTGCTTAGCTGCCCGAGCATGACTCGCAGACCTGGAAGGAGTGCGCTCAAAATCCTCAAAATCCTGGGCGTAATCAGTGAATTCAACGGTGGTAACTTTAACCTTTTGTTCCTTACTATAGTCATAACAGTCGAAGACCATCTTGATACGGCCTTCCCATTCCAAGTAAGATTCAGGGTCACTTTTGCCTTTGAACGCGGGAACCTAAATTTTAAGTCCCTTGAGTTGTTCTGAGATGTGTCCCTTCTAGGCTTCTCGGGTCGTTCCTCATCCTCACTAGCGGATTAGTCCTCGCTATTTGCTCCTTTGGTGCCATGGCTACTCTGGTTGCGTGATCTAGAATGAGAGCCTCACGTGAGACTCTTGGAGAGTTCATCAAATCGGCTGTGCAACTCCTCCATTTGTTGGTCACTAATGCGTTTGAGTTCATCCTTCATGGTGGTGAACAATAATGAATAGTTTGTGATTGGTGGATTTTGCTCCATGTCCCTCTTTATGTCTTGTAAAAGGTTGGTAACAAGAAGAACAATGCACGTATATCCTCACTTCACTCACTTAGTGTATCACTCTCTCTCGTGTGTATCCCTCAAAGGCCCTCTAATGGACTTACCGAATACCTTTACTTGTAGGATTAGGTAGTTGAGAAATATTGCTCAAGTCCAATAATTGTCACCAACTTTTTCCACAAGAGTA